GATAAGTTTATTTGGCTGCAAAAAACTTTTGAAATCCGTGCATCCATTTTTCATGCACTTTGTGGCGAGCTCTTGTGTGCAGAGCAGTGAGCAGGTTCCTGAGCCCAGATAGTGCTTCATGTCCTCTGTGATGGGGAAAGAGACGCCTTTATCTTCAGTAATGTGTTTGACCTTTACTTTTCTCTCTTTGCTAAAAATAACATACCAGTGTTAAAATGAAATATTTTTAGCATGAGTTCTGGCTGAGGCCCAAAGCAAAAGTGAGTCTGAGATACAGAACTTGTGAGGGGAGTGGTCAAAAACCAGTTCTGCAACCCTTTTGAGTGCCCACCTCCGACCTTGGGAAGAGGTCAGAGGGACTGGGAGCTGGCAGGGAACCATGACCTTCAGAGAAGATTGGGGGTGGGGAGAGTCGTCCATGCCAGCCCAGCGGAAGGGGCTTCAGCGGCACCCGTCAGAGTGATTGACATCTGTCCTCTGTGTGTCTGACTCATGTGTGTGACCCTTGAAACCGACAGTAGAGCAAGGAGGGTTTGCTGCTTGGAGTTTGCTTCTGCCTCTTGCTCACTTTGCATCTCCTTTCTCTTCCCCTTAGCCATTGAGGTCCACATAATACTCATATATACTGTAACCTCACTGTCTGTCTGCCTTAATATGATGGAAGTTCCATGAGGCAGAGACATCTGTGTTGATCTCTGCTACATGCTAGCACCTCAGATACAACATGCGTGCATAGATGCTCAGTAGACATTTGCGTGGTACGTTCATTATCACGGATCACGCCAGCAACCCCGCTGTGTTGGTGTTGTTATTTTCATTGCAACTGTGGAAGCTGAGCTCAGAGGGCTGGGACCCTTGGCCGACGTCACACACCACCAAGAGGAAGAGCCAGAATGTGAGGCCAAATCCATGTCCTCCAAAGGCACCTGTTCCTGGCCTGTTGAGCTTTATCAGCTCGGGGCTCTGTCTCCTGATAGTGGGTCCTCATCCTTTTTCAGCAGTAGGTAGTGTCTAAGATTTGAGACGTAACACACCAGTTCTGTACTCTGCTCTCACTCAGCAGATGCCGCTCATTTGAATGAGGAGAGCAAAGATAAACATTAACTGGTGATGGAGCTGTCACTCTCGGCCAGGACAATAAGCCATGCTATTCAGCATACATTTACTGGTACTTGACCATATAAATGCCTGGTTATTTACATAGCACTGTGTATTTTACCAAGTTCCTTCATATAGATAGTTTTTGTTTAAATATGAAACTGTTGGAAACTTATGTAGCCTTATTATTTTTGTTAAATATTGATATCTATTTTTATTTTTATCTTTTATTTATATATGTGAAGGGCAGAATGGCAGAGAGAGAGATATCTTCCATCCATTTGTTCACTCTCCACTGTCCGCAATAGCCAGGACTGAGGCTAGGCCAAAGCCAGGAGCCAGAAACTCCATGTTTACTCCCGGGCCCATGAGCAGGGAGCTGGTTTGGAAGTGAAGCAGCCTGGACTAGAACCACACTAACATGGGATGCAGGTCCCCAAGTGCTGGCCTCACCAGCACTCCTGCCACTGTTAGGTGATTATGTTGCAAGTTCCTGGCACGTTGGCCTCCATCACATTGGTTTCATTCTGTAGTTGCAAGTCACTAAAATTGCAGCAGAGCAGGGCCAGCACTGTGGCGTAGCAGGTAAAGCCACCCCCTGCAGTGCCGTGTCCCGTATGGACACTGGTTTGGGTCCCAGCTGCCCAGCTGCTCCACTTCCAATCTAGCTCCCTGTAACTCTGCCTCTCAAATAAATAAATGTCTTTAAACAAAAGAAAAAAAAAGGATTTTTTTGTTCTTAGAAAATTCACACTGATGAGATTAGAGGTAAGGAGGCATCTTGTGTGCAACTCAATCTGTTTAAACAGTTCAGAAAAAATATTTGAATATTTGTAAAAAAAATGATAAAGCAAAAGTGTTCACATGATAGTAACTAATGGATCTGACTGCAGGGTATCCTGGAATTCTTACTAGTATTCCTGCTCCTTTTCTGTGAGCTTCCAATTATTTCAAAATAAAAAAAAAATTTAATAAACAAAATTTTAAAGGAAAAAGCACTTCCAGAATGTTCTTGATCTCCCAGATGGATAGATGGATGGACAGATGTCTTAGGAGAGAAATACATAATCATAGGTAAAAACTCAGACTGAAAGGGGAAAACTTAGTTTTGGAGCCTCATCAATTAAATTGTACAGCTACAAAATAACCCAGAAGCCATTAAAGGGCTTCTTTTTTAATTTTGTAAGCCAAAAAAGAGTAAAAACCAGAAGTCGTGTCACAGCTGTATACAGCTGTATACTTTCCCACAGCTCGTTTCTGCCTGTGGTGTGTCGGTAGATAAAGGATGTGCTTTTTTTTTTTTTTTTTTTTGACAGGCAGAGTGGACAGTGAGAGAGAGAGACAGAGAGAAAGGTCTTCCTTTTGCCGTTGGTTCACCCTCCAATGGCCGCCGCAGCCGGTGCGCTGCGGCCGGCGCACCGCGCTGATCCGATGGCAGGAGCCAGGAGCTTTTCCTGGTCTCCCATGGGGTGCAGGGCCCAAGCACCTGGGCCATCCTCCACTGCACTCCCTGGCCACAGCAGAGAGCTGGCCTGGAAGAGGGGCAACCTGGACAGAATCCGGCGCCCCAACCGGGACTAGAACCCGGTGTGCCGGCGCCACTAGGCGGAGGATTAGCCTAGTGAGCCACGGCGCCGGCCCAAGGATGTGCATTTCTCACAAGAGTAACTGAGCAGAATCCTGCTATACCTGCCGGAGGAGGGAGAGGGTGAGTGGCTGCTTCGCCGTTCCAAGGCAGAAACCAGGTGAAGGTCATGACCGCGTTCTTGTTTCTGATCCACCAAATTACCTGAGGCGTCTTTATTGCACCCAGTGCCTCTCCGCATGCGACTCTAGAATTCTCATGGTTTACTTAACCCAAGAAATCTGAGGGATTCCGTTACAAAGTCAGCAACAAAAGTAAAGAAGCCAAGGTGCCCTGCTGCGCCACGGTCCATCAGGACAGGCTCCAGTCCAGACTGTGTAGCCTGTCTTAGGTTGAACAGCAAGGGGCCTTTTTTTTTCTAACTGTACCCAGAACATGGGAGACAATGTGTCAGATGCAAGGTGCGGTGCCTTTAACCCTTTCATGTCCACACTCGCAAATATCAGAAAAGCTCTGATCCGTGCCTCGAGGGGTTTTGGACACGGTCACTAGGAAGAGGGAGACGAAGCCCACCAGCCCTCCCTCTGCGCAGGAGCCCACAGACCCGCTGCGGCTCCTTGCCTGTTGCTGGTGGCCAGCCCCTCTGCCTGCCCTCCCAACACCAGCATCACCCTCTTGCCTCCGACTTTTTTCTTCTTCCTGTAAGACCTTCCTGTAACAGATTTCCATGGGCTACAATCATAACTGACTTTTATTTCTATAGGGGGAAAAAAAACGTGCATTTCCTAGGCCTCTCAGTTCATTACTCATTTCAACACTGTCAAAATGGACCACATACTTCAAGTTAGCCCTGGCAAAGCAAAGTGGCCTCTGTTCAGCTGACTCTCCGTACGCGGTCCGCCTGTGTTGCCGTGGCTTCAGCTGCTATTGTTGTTACTGGGGGTACACGTGGGCCAGCCTCAGGAAACGTGTAATAGAGGGCCTGTATCTGTGTAATCCGTGCTTACTGCAAGCGTGGTCCTTGCACCAACAGCTTGAGTATCAGCCCCAGGCTCGATGCCAAACCTGCTGGGTCAGAAAGTGAAGGGAGCCCACACAGGGGCTTCAGGATTCTCATGCACGTGAAGTTTGAGAACCACAGATGTAATATAACCATTCAGCACAAAAGAGAAAAGAAGAAAATAGTTTTTTTTTTTTAAAGCATCAGAGTGGGCATTGTGGTTCAGTGGGTTAAGCTACCACTTGTTATACCGGCATCCTATATCAGAGTGCCTGGGCTCAAGTCCCACCTCTGCTGCTGACCCAGCTTCCTGCCAGTGTACACCCTACGAGGCAGCAGGTGATGGCTCAAGTACTTGAGGCCCTGCTACCCATGTGGGAGGCCCAGATGGAGTTCCAGGCTCCTGGCTTTAGCCTGGCCCAACCCTGGCTGTTGCAGGCATTTGGGGAGTGAACCAGTGGATGGAAGGTCTCTCTCTCTTTTGCTCTCTCTCTGTCATTCTGCCTTTCAAATAAATAAAAATAAATGAACGTTAAAAAAAGTGGTCATGGCTAATGGTGCATGCAGTATCTTCCGTAAACCAGCAGCACATGAATACAGCAGTCCCCTTTCATCTGCAACGTTGCTTTCTGTGGTTTCAGTTTTCCATAATATCCAGGGGTCCAAAAACACTGAATGGAAAATTCTAGAAGTCAACAGTTTGTAAGTTCTAAATTGTGTGCTGTTCTAAGTCATGTGCTAAAATCTCACAGCATCTCTTTGTCCAGTTTCTACCCTGTATAAGCTACCCACCCGTTAGTGTCTCAGTTTCCATAGTGACTGTTGCAACATGGCAGTGCTTACGTTCAGGTAAACCTGGTTGTACTTAACGTCCTAACCTGCAAGAATGGGGACTGGCCTTTTGAAGAGAAGCCCTCGTACTTCCTTTAAATGAGATGGTGAAAGTTTATCATGGGTATGTGTGTGTCTGAAAAACATGCTGGACATAGGATTCAGTGCCATCTGCAGCTTCAGGCGTCCACTGGGGGTCTTGGGCTGCAGCCCCTGCAGACAGGGTGTGAGAAGAGAACTGAAATAGCAGCTAAGGGAAAACCACTCGAAAGGTGTGGGGCCCACAGATCCCCTAGCAAAAATGCCACCAATGTCTCCTACACTAAAGAGGGAAAATGTGCCACTAACAAAGCCACATTCTTTAAACCCAGAGACCCCATCTCCAGCTAGGACCAACTCTCAGCACAGTTCTGCATCCCAAAAAAAGCTGCCCGCTCCGGCTCTTAGCCCGAACTCTGGGTTCACAGTTCGCCTCTGTTGTTCCAGCAAAGGGCTGCCTTCCAGTTCCACCTTCACCTTGGAAGAGGGGACCATCTACCTGACGGCCGAGCCAGCCGCCCTGGAAACGCAGGACGACAACGCCTCGGTGCTGGACGTCTATTTAGTGAGTTGGTTTTGTTTTCATTTCTCCTCCTCCCTTTCTGGTTTACAAATGGATGTAGGCCGTGGCCTACGCAAGAAAAACCTCTGGGAAGCCACACACATTTGGATTCTAAAAGAAACAGTTGCAGCCCATCGCCTGGGCAGACCGAGCAGCCTTGTCCAAGCTGTTTGCCCACAGTGCACGTGAACCACTGCACAGCAGAGTACCTGGGTTAGTGCTTAGTCACGGGGAGAACAAGGGAACGGGTGCCCAGCGCCCAGGCGACCTGCACTCCTTGCTGCTTTTCCCAGGGAAGTTGTGTCTTCCGTGGACTCCACTGTGCCCCCTAGTGTTTGAACCTTGATAAGGTCAAGAGGCCAGCAGTGGAAAGAACTGGAGTTTAGCACCCAAGAATCTTCGCTGACTGCCCCCTGGGCTGCCAGCAGCCAGCTCTGTGCTTTGGGCCGGAGCCTCTGTGACTGCCTCCCTGCCCACCTCACGTGGCTACTTCTGGGATGCCAGCGATGAGATGGGTGAGCACCCTGCAGGAACCGTGACGTGACGCCTGGGAAGGCAGCCTGCTGGTCTAGGCTGGGGAAGGGTGTTTCCTTTCATGGTGCGTCTTGCACATGTACCAGTGTCCCTGCACACATGCACAGAGCCACAGGAATCAGGGAAAGTGGGGATTGGTGTTTCCTGTCTGCTTGCTGTGTGCTCGCCCTGAGCCAACAGTCTGTCTCCGCGGGTGCACACATGTGCACACACACGCACACGCACACGCAGACACGCCCCCCTCAGGCCTTGGCAGCACTTGGTCTGAGTCTTACCCTGTGCATCGCCTGAGGCTGCACTTTCTGCTTCTCCCCTGACCTAGCCCTTCAGCTGTGCCCTGCAGGACGCCGGTCATTTTAAATGCTGCCCTTCAGCCCCCAGCCCTCAAGCGTCTGCCCAGCTGTCATGGAGCAAGGTCCAGAGTCCCCACTGCCCTGCACGGCTGACCTTCCCTGCCTCCCCCAGCCACACTGCCTCCTGCTCTTTCTCACTCCATCCGAGCACGTTTCTGCCTCAGGGCCTTTGCATTGGCTGTTCCTGTCATGCAGTCTTTCCCTCACCTCCTTCACTGCCTCAGCCCAAGCTTCCTCTCAGATAGGCCTTCCTTGACTTCCCTGTATAAAACAGCGCCCCCTACCTCCAACCAGTGTGGAAGAACTTGCTTAATACTTTATTTTTTCATGTTAATGTACTATTAATACAAAGACAACAGATTCACTGTAATTCATAGATACAATCCTAAGAATATAATTATGGTCCCTTTCTCCCTTTCCTTCTTTCTTTTTTAGTTTTTGAAATAACATATTTCTTTTTCTTTTTCTTTTTTAAAGATTTATTTATTTAAGCCGGCGCCGCGGCTCACTAAGCTAATCTTCCACCTAGCGGCGCCGGCACACCGGGTTCTAGTCCTGGTCGGGGAGCTGGATTCTGTCCCGGTTGCCCCTCTTCCAGGCCAGCTCTCTGCTGTGGCCCAGGAGTGCAGTGGAAGATGGCCCAAGTGCTTGGGCCCTGCACCCCATGGGAGACCAGGAGAAGCATCTGGCTCCTGGCTTTGGATCAGCATGATGCGCTGGCCACAGTGCGCCGGCCACGGCGGCCATTGGAGGGTGAACCAACGGCAAAAAAAGGAAGACCTTTCTCTCTGTCTCTCACTGTCCACTCTGCCTGTAAAAAAAATTATTTATTTATTTGAAAGACAGTTACAGAGAAAGGGATAGAGAGAGGTCCTCCATCTGCTGCTTTACCCCTCAGATGGCCGCAACAGCCAGGCATGGGCCAGGCCAGAGCCAGAAGCCAGAAGCTTATTCCAGGTTTCCCCCGTGGGTAGCAGGGGCCCAAGCATTTGGGTCATCTTCTGTTGCTTTCCCAGGCACATTAGCAGGGAGCGAGATCAGAAGTGGAGCAGCCAGGACAGGAGCAGACATTCATATGTCATGTCTGTTTCATAGGCAGTGGCAGCTTTACCCACTGCGCCGCAGTACCACCCCGAGATAACCTATTCCTGATTAACATTACAGTCTAAGATTAAGATGCAGTGGGCAGGGCCGGCACTGTGATGTGGTGAACTAAGCCTCCACCTCAGTGCCAGCATCCCATATGGGCACCAGTTCAAGTCCTGGCTGCTCCTCTTCCAATCCAGCTCTCTACTGTGGTCCAGGAAAGCAGTGGAAGATGGCCCAGGTCCTTGGGCCCCTGCATCCACATGGGAGACCTGGAAGAAGCTCCTGGCTCCTGACTCCTGGCTTTGGATCAGCCCAGCTCTGGCTGCTGGGGCCATTTAGGGAGTGAACCAGTGGGTGGAAGACCTCTCTCCCCCTCTCTCTCTCTCTCTCTCTCTCTCTGCATGTAACTCTTCTTCTCAAATAAATTAAAAAAAAAAATGCAACTGAGGACACCCGCATCCACCATCAGAGCACCAGTTCGAGTCCCAGCTGCTCTACCTCTCACCCAGCTTCCTGCTAATGACCTGGGAAACAATGGGTGATGGCTCATGTGCCTCAGTCCCTGACACCCATGTGGGAGACCCGGATGGAGTTCCCGGTTCCTGGCTCCAGCCCTGGCTATTACAGCCATCTGGGGGGAATGAACCCGTGAGTGGAAGAGCTCTCTGCTGTTCTCTCTCTACCTCTCTCCTTCTGCCTTCCAGTATATAAATCACTTTTAAATGGGGGGAGGGAGGCAAAGGGAAAGCCCAGCATTCTTTGCTGGTTGCATTGCTAGCACGTGGGGCCAATTAGGAATCAAAGGGTCATGGAAATTTAGAGGTAACAGAGATGATGGTGGTGGTGGTGGTGGCTGACTGGTGTGGTTCTCCGGTCCCAGCCAAGGCTTTGCTGTGGCCCAGAGTAAGGGGAGGGAGGAAAGAAGGGGGGCGGGGGCAGGCAATGGACATCCCCTGCCAAGCTTGGAGAAAAGTGGACGTCGCCGGGTCCAATTTTGCGGCAAATCCCAGTAAGCTTTGAAACATGTTTAAGTGTTTCCTACACACCTGGAACTGCCCCAGATGTCTTATCCACATTAGATGTAATTCTCAGGGTATCCCTGTGAAGCAGCTCCATTTCACAGACAGGGAAACTGAGGCACACAGAGGTTATGCAGTCTGGCCAGGTGGTGCAGCATTTATACATTCAGGAAGACCTGGGATTCAAGTGCCTGGGGACCCGCCCAGAACCAGCAGTGGTAACAGCTGAGCCGCGCTGCCTACTTTAGGAAATGTGCTGCCCTGCATTGTACAGGTCAGACCCAGAACACTTAAGACAGCAGGCGATGTGGCGAGAAGATACAGGGGAAAACAGGACTCAGAGACAAGCCTGAGCTCAGACAGCGTCTTTTAAATTTCAGCATGAAACTGTTGTGGTTGGCAACAGTTAGTCGTGTATTTCAGAATCATTGGTAGAGAAGAGTCTGTGTGTTCCAACACAAAGAAATGATGAGTATCTGAGGTCACCCTGATCCGGTATCACACCTTGTATACACGGATGAAAATGTCACACTGCACCCCTAAATAGGAACAAGTACTGTGTGTCAGTATGTTTTTAAAATATTAAATCAAGGGGGCCAGTGCTGTGGCATAGTGTGCTAAGCTTCGCCTGGGTTGCCAGCATCCCATATGGGTGCTGGTTTGTGTCTCGGCTGCTCCTCTTCCAGTCCAGCTCTCTGCTATGGCCTAGGAAGGCAGTGGAGGATGGCCCAAGTGCTTGGGCCCTGCACCTGCTTGGGAGATGCAGAAGGAATTCCTGGTTCCTGGCCTCGGATCCGACTGTTGTGGCCAGCTGGGGAGTGAACCAGCAGATGAAAGACCTCTCTCTCCCTCTGCCTTTCTCTAACTCTGCCTCTCAAGCAAATAAATAAAATCTGTAAAAATACATTAAACCAAGTAAAGTATAAAAAATAGGGAATGGCCGGCGCCTCGGCTCACTAGGCTAATCCTCCGCCTGCGGCGCCAGCACACCAGGTTCTAATCCTGGTCGGGGCGCCAGATTCTGTCCCGGTTGCCCCTCTTCCAGGCCAGCTCTCTGCTGTGGCCCGGGAGTGCAGTGGAGGATGGCCCAAGTCCTTGGGCCCTGCACCCCATGGGAGACCAGGATAAGCACCTGGCTCCTGCCATCGGATCAGCGCGGTGCGCCAGCCACAGCATGCCGGCCGCGGCAGCCATTGGAGGGTGAACCAACGGCAAAGGAAGACCTTTCTCTCTGTCTCTCTCTATCTCACTGTCCACTCTGCCTGTCAAAAAAAAAAAAAAAATAGGGAATGAAAGTTCCAGTAGACTCTGATAAGGACGATTTGGTATTGTTGGAAGGGAGTTCAATAATAAAACTCACGGCCAAACTGAGCACATCCCCGGTGCCAGGTACTTTTGCATTACCTCGTTCATCTAGACAGGGGTTGTCCTTGTCTTCGTTCAGACAGGTAGAGAAACTGAAGCTGGATTTCACACATTCATGGAACTGGTAAATGACAGAGCATCCGGCTCTGTGTGCTCTGCCTCCTAAACTTGAACTCTGAGGCTCTCACTGTTGCCATTGACCACCCATACAAACCTCCCCTCCATCCTCTCCTTGTGATGCTGAGAGAGGGACTAGGAAGGAGTGGGACGTTTGTACTGAAAGTTCACTTTGTAAAAGTCTCACTGTGTTGTTTCCTTTCTGGTTCCTTCATCTCATTCTATTTCATTTTATTTATTCTCATGTATTTGGGCGGCAGAGAGTGAGCTCCCCTCCTCTGGTTCACTCCTCACATACCTGCAGTGGCTCCTCACTGGGACCAAGGCCAGGACCAGGAACTCAGCCCAGGTGTCCCTGGTGGATGATAGGAACCGAGTCACATGTGCCGTCACCCGTGCCCTGGCCCACAAGAGCAGGAAGCAGAGGCAGGTTTCAAAGCCAGGCCTTGTGATATGGGACGTGGGAGTCCTGGCTGGCATTTTAACCAACAGGCCAAGCACCCACCCCTCCGGTCATTTTTTTAAT